GCTGCGCTTTGAATGAATGAATGAAATGATCTTTGGAAGCTCCTAAGTGAGGTCTCGGCGGCGAAGCTGCGCAGCTTCGGTGGTTGCGAGGCTCGGATGTCTGAATTCAGCATTTTGGTTTGCGCCTGACGGACGTCGAAATACGAGAGCTTGTCGAAGAGTTTCTTTCTGGACGGGACGCACGAAGGTTTGTTGCTCGTTCGCCAATTTACAAGTACTTTTGCTCCTTCCACTTATCGTACCAGTGCAAGCACCAGTGCGACTACCCCTACGACGATGGCGACCACTGCGCCGACGACTACGCCGACGACGATAAGCTACTGTATCCAAATTCCGGAGCGTCGTCTTCCTCCTGCCCCGCCGCCGCCGCCGCCGCCTCCTCCTCCTCCTCAGCCTGCCGGTGGTCGTCGCTGTCGTCCTCGTCCTCGTCCTGCTCATGGTCATCGTCGTCGTCTCCGACATCGTCGTGGTCTCGTCCTCGCCTGTGTCATGCTTCCCGTTGTGGTAGTTGCTGTCATCATCATCATCATCATCGTCATCATCATCATCATCATCATCGTCATCGTCCTCCTCCTCCTCCTCCTCGTCGTCGTCGTCGTTGTCGTCGTCACCTTCACCGTCATCGTCATCGTTATGGTCATCGTCATCGTCATCGTCATCATCATCATCATCATCATCAGCATCATCATCGTCATCATTTTCATCACCATCATCGTCATAGTCTTCATCATCACCACCATCACCATCATAATCATCATCATCACCATCCTCACCATCATCACCATCACCATCATCATCTTCGTCATCATCTTCATCAGCTTCGTCTTCATCGTCGGTTTCGTCATCATCATCATGTCATGATCATGATGATGGTGATGGTGATGGTGATCGTCATCATCACCATCTTTGTCCTCATCGTCACCGTCAGCCTCATCGTCCTTATCATCACCGTTTTTATTGTTAACATAGTCGCATAGTTCGTCGTGCATCCTTCTCCTCCTTTTCCCTCTCCTTCGCGAGTGGAAATTGAAAGCAGCGACGTAGATCCACTGAGCATTGAATTTCTTGAGCCCGCAAACCTGTATCAAACATCTGGCCAGGCCCCTCAGAACTTGTTGTGCGTGGATGTGCGGGGGGCTGCGACGACCCCCGAAGCTCTGCTGAATTGTACCTGAGGGTTTTTCTGAATCTTCCAAGGCATCAAGCTTTAAATATGCCGTCGCATAAGAAATGGCGCTTCGTTGTCGTTTGACTTCATGCCGAACTTGGCCCCATAGCGATGTGGTGAGGGCAGCTACGGGGGTGTCCTGTTGATGCAGATTCTAAGATTCTGCACGTTTACTTTATGTATCGCACTCTGTTTTATTTACCATGCAATATACAGTACCATACATAGTACATCATAACTTAATAGTGTATAGAGTACTGTAGATACTATGCTATATATGCATATATATATATATACATATATATATATATATATTCTACACGCTATATTTCCTCGTATGTACATAGAGCACGATAAACAAGACTATCCGTACCTCTATATATCATACAGTATAATGAAGGCGTGACAGTTTATAAAATAATCGTGGAAAGCATTACATGATACGGGTTGATGTGCTTACTCGTGGTTTTGGCTCCCCGTCAGAATCGGGTCATCCAAGCTCTAGGTGGGATGCTGTCGTGGCAATACCGCTCCCTCAAGGCCCTGGCGGCGAAGCGCAATCCCATCGATCTGGTGCTGATTATCGATGTTTCGTACTCCATGACCTCAGCGATGGAAGATGCACCTTGTCGTAGAAGCATTTCTGGGGATGCTAAATGTTCGCCGCTGCATGCCACGGCTCTGTCATCAAATTAGATTCTGTGTGGCGCTGCGTCCAATCATTTACGTTCTGGGCACACTGAAGTTCATATTTGCCGTAATTGTCGATGCCCATGGCCTGTGTAGAGTTGAAGCTGCAATATCTCCAAGTCCAATGACGGGGTTGCCACTGCAGTGCTCTTTGCTTCAGATAGGTGCTGAGCGAGTGAGCAAGTGAGTTAGTGGGTCAGTTAGTCGGGCGGCCCGTCAGCCAGTCAGTCAGTGAGTCAGTCAATCAGTCTGACTGCCTGACAGACAGGCAGTTGGTCAGTGCGGTTCTTTAGCATTGTAGGTAGGTAAGTAGGTAGGTAGTTAGGTAGGTAGGTAGGTAGGTCCAGTGGGAAGCGAGGTAGACTCAGGTAGGTGGGAAGATGGCAGCTGGGTAGGTTGGCAGGTAGGTATGCGGGTAAAGGGGGTAGAGAGAAGTAAGCCGTCAAGCAGGTATGTAATGTGCAGATGTGTGCCTGTCTGTGTGATGGTATTTTGATTCGGCATGTGTACGCCACCAGGGATACATTCGAAGATGCCGTGGTTTTGTGGAAAGGGGGAAGTTGTGGCACCAATGGAGCATGGTGTTTCTGGCAGAAAGGAGAAGGTATCATTCTCTGTTCGGATCGGCGGGAACCCGAGTGCGATTCAGAACCAATAGGTTTATGCTATCGTCTTCGTGGCCTCGGATGCAGCACAGTTCGCGCAAGTACTCTCTTCATCTTGACCGTGCGCGGAAGTGAATTGACTAGATTCTAGATTAGATACATGCACTATCATGGCTTGCTTCTTTGGTTTCTGGTTTTTAATGCCAACGAGTCTGGGGTCGGGTAGGAGGAAGTTTGGCATTACGTTTCAAGCCTTCCTGGTTGGAATTACAATGCAGACAGGTGCGGGAGACTTGCCGACAGATCTACAGCGAACTCCACAGCCAAGACCGCATCTGCGCGAAACTGAGGAAGTCACCAGGGATCCAGCCCATCAGCAATTAAGCTAGCAGTGAAATATGCAGCCATTTGGAAAGCGCACGAACTCGTGCTGGTTCCGTACTCAGCAGTGGCTTCGCAAAGCGTTGCCTCAGAGTGGTGTCCGCAATATTAGGCGCAGTCCTAGTCAGGTTCTCAGCAGTAACACTGATGATTCGGCTTCTTGTCTTCCAAGGCTTGGTCACCTTCTCCGAAAAAGCCAAAGTGGTTTTGCCCCTGACTCCAAAAGATCAAGTGCAGGACAGGCAGGACATTCAAGGGGTTCGGGCTTCCGATTTTCAGAGGCTAACCTTCGAGTTTGGTGTGGATTCAAAGCAACTCTGCTCAGCAGAAGTCTAGACCTCATCGCTCTACACGGCCTTTGTCAAGAATTCATATCACGGATGTGTGGACAGCCCCATCACATCATAGCAGGATCCCTGGTCAACTGCACCGAGTAGCGTATGGCCGCAAGAAACGAAAGCATAGGATGCCAGGTGCAATCTGCTCTGCATGACTCCATCCGAAATGGTGAATGTCTGGCATGGCGCTTTTTGGTCAAATGACAGCACTTTTGAAGTTTGCTTTAACCACAAGCTGCCTCCTCGAAATGGGCAGAATTCACGAAAGCGTCTCAACAGAAGCCAGAAGGACTTCAACGGGTATTGCTGCCAGCTCAAGGAGGACTGACGTGTGAGCTTGCAGTTCGCACTTAAGGAGTGGAGTACGCATGCAGACATGGCATGCCGATGTGTTGTCTCACTGTTCAGCATCCTGTATCGGTACTCTGTATAGCCACTGCAAAACAGCCGTGGATTGTTCGTGCTTCGAGTTTCTGCTTATTTTTTGCAGGAGTCGTGCACCAACATTGAAGCGGGCCTGAAGGCATGTCTCCAGCCTTCGATCAGCTTTATTTGATGTTATTTTGCACTCCCCTGTTGTTGCAGCGATTTTGCCAAGTTCTTCCTAGTGCTTTAAGCATGAAACTCACCGCGCCAATGCTGAATCTGAGTGCCCCTGCTAATCCCCAGACCCCAGACCCTTGAACTGCATGTTCCGCTGAGCCTGACCGCAGGAAGGCCTTCGGCAATTGGCCTTCTGGCGGCAGAGGGGCCCGTCGGATTCGGGTTTGGGAATTCGTTGTTGGGCTTTGTTTACAGTTCTTTCGGAATCGACATCGTGTCCGGGAAAAGTCATGCGTACACACGACATAGTGGGTTCTGGTTCCTAAACACAATCCTAGCATCCGGATACGCTGTCGTGCCTTGCAAAAGACCCCCCCACCCCGCCCGGAACGCTTGCAGCAACTTGTGTCCATCCTTTTGCTTGCTGAGAACACTACAGTCGCCCGCAACGGCTACTGGCCGTTTTGCCAAACGACCGGTCGACCCGTTGATCAGGCCTGCGGCATGTGAACAAGAGCATGCCTTGCTTTGCTGGAGATTCAAGCGATCAAGAATATTTTTCGCGAGTGGGCTTCTGTTCCGGGGCTAGCAGTGCACATAAATGCAAGTCTTTTGGTGAACAGGCGAAACCAACCGCGAAGCTTTAAAGTGGTACCTTCTCCGAGAGACGTTTGTGGTTTGCTGCAGGCTCCGGTACCACTTATCTTCCGGCCCCCGCTCCCGACCCCTCCACCTCCCAACTCCGACTCTCCTGCTGTGGCCCCAAAATCCGTATAAAGTATAAACCCTAAACGATAGAAACGCCTAAGCCAGCCCTAAACCCCTGGACCTCTAAAGCCTTAAACCCCAAACCGTGAGGTCCCCTCGTCGCATACTGCCGTGTCCATCCTCCTCTCAGATGGACAGCCGAACGCAGGCGTCACGACATCGGAGGCTCTGCAGATCCATTCTAACGTAGGTTTGGGGCTTATTATAGGGTTAATAGGGTTTGTCGAGTTCAGGGGTGTTTAGGGTTCAAGGCCGTATTCTGCTTGCTACGGCCATCAAATAATAAGTAAGCAGGGATAAGAAGGGGAAGAACCATGAGATGAAGAACCAGACCCCCGCTGCAACAACGGCACCCCATGTGAGGGCGTGTCTGGTTTAGGATTTAGGGTTGTTCGCATCTGTCGCGATGCCGACAGTAGAGGTTTGCGAAAGAACATGCTCCTCAAATCCCAGTGTAACCTGTTTCGGCAGCATGGAGGATTTGCTGCGTCTCGCCGAAGATGAGATGAGTGCCACTCAGCGATCTGTACCCGTGGCTGCCATTAGTCCGAACCTGGCTTGGAGGATCATTGCTGCGATGAGAGGTGTAGGATGGAGGAACCGCGCGGCCTTAAAGTCCAAATGCGAATGGGAATTCTCATATTATAGATGGCTGCTCTAGGACAAATCGTCAGCAGGTCAGCCAGGCATATAGAAGTTCTAGAAGCATCGTCGCGATTAGATTCTCACCATCCTAGAGCGGGTGGCCGGTCGAACATGTGGTATCGTATGAGTCTGAGCTTGACCGAGGACGAGTCGCGTCACAGCAGCAGCCAAACTGATTTGGCCAGATTCGACAGTATTCCAACCTTTCCCGCAAAACGGCTGCCGCGTACGGCCGTACATGGATGCCTCTTACACAACATAATGCAGACAACTCGCTTGAGTGTGCTTTTGACCCGTTCAGGTAACCCTTCACGCCTTCGGCTTCACCGCCGGCCACGCAATAGAGATCATGCATCTTGCTGGAATGGCATAGTGCAGCTGTCCTGGTATGAAGATGAAACGTGTGCGTTTCGAATTCAGCAGGATGTCAAGCTGTCTCGCAGACTTCATGCAAAGTCCTCTTGTCGGCACGCGGCCATGAAACCCAAAACCAACCCTCAGCTCAGGAGTAGCTTGCCATCGAAAAGTCTTCACCTCAGCGGAACCTGGAGTTGCTCCCAAGATTGCCTTGCAGCGCTGGCGTCTACGAGGCAATGGCCCCGTTGGGAGCTACTACTATCTCGAGCAGTCCTTGGACATCGCAGCCGCCGCCGTCCCGGCCGATCAGGGCGTAGCGTTCGGGATGTCCGGGCAACACCTACTTACGGTGTTGTGATACGTTGTGTAACCTCATTTCTCTGTAAGGATCGATGTTCCCTCTTCGTAAGCCTCGCATACGGCTAGTACCGTCGCTCATTTGCGATGTTTAGTATTCAGCTCCTGCCACCTCCGAGGCTGTCGGAGACTGCCTGGGAGCAGCTTCCGCCCATCGTGTCTGCCAAGGCATTGTTCGTTAGACAGCATGTTTGTCATTGTGCTATCCAGGACTTTCAGAACATAGCCCGATGTATTGCAAAGCCAAGGGACGTTTTGGTGCCAGAAACAAGCATGCACGTATCCAGAGCGTCTCGGAGGCCTGCAATTTCGTATGTCGCTGCCAGAAAGCAAAGGAGGCCGGGTGCTTTTTGTGCAATATGGGCCTTATCAATTAGAACAGGGATTTGGGGTATGTTCGAGTTGTCGTAAGGAGCCCTGAGGAATCATCCTGGTAATTTTCAAGGCTTTTAGAGCAGAGATCTACTGCGCGACTTCACATCGAACATGCGAGGGGCCAGCGGATGGTTTGTCAGGGCCCCAGCGTCTCTTCGAGAGGACTTCAGCGCAAGGTGAGCTCAAGTCTTCGATTGAGGGCACCTTTTCGTACATTGCGAGCTTTCTTCGTGAAATAGCTAGAAAGGCAGGAGTGACTGAGGCCTTGGGGAGGGCATCAAAGGGACATGCAAGACCAGACAAGACCTCAGCTCAGTGAAATGGCAGAAAGCTACAGGTACCAGGCTTAAACGACAGAAATAGAGAGTCAAAACACTGAGATACTCTGGCAGTGCGCTACCGGAGTCAGACAAAGCCCGAAGGCATAGATATGGAGGAAAGTTCTGATTGACGCCAGCAAGTTAATGAGGGTCGCAGGAACAATTGCATAAACACTTCCGAAGTTCACGGACGCCAGAGTACGTTGGATTGTCGAGTTGGCAGAAGCGATGCCGAACTTGCTGCTGCCCTTTGATAGTTGAAGTCTTCGCGTGCTGGTTTGTCGAGACCATTCCAGGTCGGTGCTTGTTGGGAGCATGCCGAATATCAAGCAGCCTACGAGTAAGTCCGCTTATGTATCTTTTTCTTGCTAACTGGTATGAGGCTTCAGCACCTGTCTGACGGTCCCGTCTGCCAGGGCCCACCCATTGGTGATGACTCTGAGGCGTGGCATTGGTTGCAGAGCGAGAGATAAACGAAATTGAAGGAGTGTCAGTTGAAGAGTCAGTAAAGGTCATTTGCTAGACAGCGAGAAACTCCTCACAGGAAGCCTGAGAAATTCGTGCTCAGCCCCCGACAAACGAATTCCCCCTTAGTCGTACTACTATTGCGAGTGTGATGGCCACTCACCAACAGGTTTCGCGACATGCTCCAAACCCACGCTTAGCCCGTCATGCCCTTCGTGGTTTGCTTGAGTGCTAGACATCGCAAGACCCAACCTCTGCTGCAGCCATTCACGAGCAGTCATTCTTCATACCATTGCAGGATGCGCCGCTGCTTGGAATACAGGCCTCCTCTGAACGTGAAGGATGCTGCTTCGCTTCGCTCATGGTGTTGCTCTGACAAAGGGAACCGATGCTGGTTCCTCCTGAAGCCTCAAGACAGGATAGGCAGCACTCTCTCTGTCTCTCTCTCTCTATATATATATATACATAGAATTATTGTGTGCTCTTATATATATATATATGTATACATACACACATGTGTATATGTATGCATGTGAATTTACACATAATATACACATAGAGAGCATGTGCAGACACACACTCTGGACATACAGGCATGTTCGTGTGTATATGTATGCGCGCGTGTGTGTGTGTGTATGTATGTATGTATGTATGTATGTATGTATGTATGTATGTATATATAGATATATTTGCATGTATGTATATGTGCGTATACATTCGAGCTTCTCGCCAGGCCAGTGACTGCAGGGAGCTTGGGGCATTGGCGGCAGAGGAGCAGCAGGTCCTCCGGGCTGGGTGTCGTAGCTGCGAAACCGTAAAGCCATGTAACGCCTAAATCCTACACTGCCTACACCATCAAGAACCCGCCGTGCCACATTGCAGCTCAGGGACACAGATTCAACCTTACCGCAAAGCATCTTGGAACTGAAGCAACATGGGGGCCGGAGCTCCGAATGCTTGGGAGCCCGGATCCAAAGTCGGGCATTGTTCACTGCACCTTCGAAGCAGGACGCCAAGACTTGCAACAGAACGAGTAGGAATGTAGTGCTGAAGAAGCCGGTGCTGTGCTGCGTTGCCTGGCAGGCACAGCTTTATGCCGCAAGCTCGGTGAGCCTTGATGTCCTAGATTTCGTTCACGTCACGACTTGCCGGCAATGAGAACCCATCAGGGCGCAGTAGTGGTACTTCTGGGCTAAGTTTCAAGCCTACAAATTGCACAAGCCTGAAACGCTAAGCCACGAAACACGGTTGCATTCAGTGCTTCGCCTAAGGTTGTGCAAGAGGATTTGAAGAAAGCAACGCTGCACCTCTCATGGCAATCCGAGGCCCGTAGGAGGGTACAGTGCTAAAGACAGACTCCTCAACCCTTCAAAATCTTCCGGTTCCCTCCTTCCGCAGTTCAGTTCTACTGCTGCTATCACAACAACGAAGGCAACTACTACTGCCACTGCCACCTCCACTACGGCTGCTGCTCCGGCTGTTGCTGCAGCTACTACTCCTAGAATTACTTCGGCCGTTGTCTATAGCACCATGCCTGCGACTGGAAAGGGTTAAAGCCTTCGAGGGTGAGATCCGTGCAAGAGCCAGGCGAACGCGAAATAGAGCCAGCGTCAATACGCGGGATAATGGGGCATGTCTTACGTCTAAATCTACACACGTGCAGTGGGTCTGACGTGTTCTTACGGTCTCATTACGGACGCACATAGGGCTCTACATAGTCGAGGGAGCGTATTCGGCCCCTTCAGGGGAACAGCAGGGGTCCTGTCTTGGACGTCTTTATCTCAAGGATCCTACAGCTTTAATCATAGCTTACTTTTCGTTTGGGGCCTTCTATTGGTCATTCGGGACCTCGGACATAGTAGCCCGGAGGTTCCATAGGCCCGGCGAGTGGGCTGGAAGCAGCAAGAATCACAGACGCTATTCTAACAGGAGCAGTATTCAGCAGAGAAAATCTACTACAAGTAGAAATGAGCCCAGGAAGTAACCTAAAGGAGTCTGAACATAATCTCGGGGCCTAATTACCTATACTATACTTATTAAGGCCCCTATATTATCCGAGCCATTCCAAAACTGCCAGGGCGAGACGCAGCTCTTCGCATGTGACCTGGACCTCTCTGCCCTGGTCGGGCTGTGCCCGGCCTGGACCATTTTAGGGGTATGGGTTTAGGGTTTAGGATGAGTGCTTTTCCATCTCTTACCGTGCCTTTTTTCTGTTCTTCTTGCTGTGGTCGTCAGTTTTTCAATTATGGTTGCTTGGCTCCTGAAAGATCTATGTTTATTTTGCTTCTTGCTTTGGTGGTCATCTTTCTTCGATTCGGAAGTCTCACCAAGTATGGCTGTTGCTTTGGGCTTGCCATGATGTCACGACGCGGGGCTCACCTCCAGGGCCCCGATGGCACTGGCGCAGCCACCCGCCAGTGCCTCGCTGAGCGAGCTAGGGGCTCCTTCGCTGCAAAAGGTTCGGGTTTCAGATTATTCCTAGTGTTCCTTATTGTAGTTTTAATCTGTTATTATACTATGACCCACCCCAAACCCCTATTCCAATCATTGAGTCTCCATAGGCTCAGGGCTGAGGGACAAGCAGCGCGCGGTCCTTGTAGAATGGTCTTTATTCATTTGAGCCTTGATGCACTTTTTTTGTGAACTTGCTTTGCTTTGCAGCTGAGGTTTGCGCCCATGCCTTGCGATTGGAGGTGGGCTTTGCGCAGGGTCTTGCCTCGTGTGGCAGTACAGCAGAACTCGGAAATGTTTTTTTGGCCAAAGCGCGTGAACGTGGCCGCTGTGACAGCTTTCGCGCAATGGAGCTTCGACGAGTTTCGAATTTCGGGTTTAGGTTGCTCTCAGCTATCAGTTGCTCTTTGTGGGAAGGCTTTTGCTGCAGGCACAGAGAGCCAGCAAACTCGGCAGCACCTGGCTTTGAAATCCTGCCTGCCTTCACAAGCCGTAATCACGCCTGGTAAACATCAAACTCCAAACTCTGAACCGTGTTCATGCCCTCAGGGTCTCAACATAGTGCTACTACGAAAGTATGATCAGCTCAACCAGACATCGCTCTTCCTTGCAGGCTGCTTCGGCGCTGTCTGCACTGGCGCTGAGCCCCGACCTTGCGGACCTTTGAGCTTAGTGATTTAGGGCCGGTGCACGCAGCATCGTGAGGGATCTTGGCTTAGGGGAATGGAATCCCGCCGCTGCAATCTCGACCATATCAAGTGCGAAATAAGCCCAAGCATGAAACACACGATTATAAGTAACCCCTCAGCCCTGCATCCCATGTAAACCCTAAGCCAACAGCTTTCCGAACCTTTAAACCTTAAAGCCCAAACCCCCTGGAGGATCGCTACCAGGACCTCCACGCCTCGGTCCTGGCCTGTCTGGCAGCCTAGAAGACGAGAGTTCAAGGCGGTTCTTGCAGGATAAGGGCTCCCGATTCGGTTTAGTTCTATGATGTCTGTCTGCCTGCCTGCCGGCCTGCCTGGCTGTCTGTCTGTCTGTCTGTCTGTCTGTCACTTGTCTCTCTCTCTCTCTCTGGCTCTGTCTCTGCCTCTGTCTCTGCCTCGCTCTCTCTCTCTGCCTCTGTCTCTCTGCCTGCCTGCTTGGCTGGCCGTCCCTCCCTCCCTACCTGCCTGCACCTGACTGCCTGCCTGTTTGTTGACCGACCAACCGACCAACCGACCTACCCACCTCCCTACCTACCTACCTACCTACCTACCTACCTTCCTACCTTCCTACCTTCCTACCTTCCTCCCTTCCTACCTTCCTACCTTCCTACC